ATTTTTCCAAAATTTACTGATACTCACCATCTACAATCTAATCCTGTATCATTGGCTATTCTTCTTCGATATTTGAGACACTTACTTGATTTTGGTTTGTCCATTTCTACATTGAAGGTGTACATCTCTGCTATTGTTTCCTTTCAGCCTTGAGACTCCGAGTCATCCAGACTGTTCTTTCTCAAAGGTTTATCTAATATGAGACCGCCTGTAAAACATCCTCTGCCACAATGGTCTCTCCAGGTGGTTCTTCACTCACTTACTCGGCAACCATTTGAACCTATGGCATCCTGTGACATCCGTCTCTTGTCATTCAAGACTCTATTTTTGGTTGCCATCACTTCGGCACGCAGAGCAAATGAATTAGCTGCGCTTCACTCTGATCCTCCTTACCTACAGTTTTTTAAGGACAAGGTTATGTTGTACCCTGATGTTTCGTTTCTACCCAAATTTGTATCTGATTTCTATCTGATGTTGCCTACACTGTTCCCGAATCCTACTTCTGATGTTGAGTGCATGCTCCACTCCCTAGATGTGCGAAGAGCGCTATCATATTATGTGGTTCGTACCAAAGAATTTCGTTCAACTGATAGACTGTTCCTCTGCTTTTATGGACAGCACAAAGGTTCTGCTGCCTCTTCTTCCACATTATCTAGATGGTTGGTCTCTACTATAGCTCTTGCCTATGAACTCCAGAACAAACCTCTCCCTGAAGGTCTCAAGGCTCATTCTGCTAGAGCTGTTGCTACATCTACAGCCCTGCTGCAAGAAGTTGACATCCCTGACATCTGCAGAGCAGCAACCTGGTCCAATGTGTCTACATTCATTACACACTATAGACTGGACCTCCGGGCCAAGAAAGAGACCAACTTTGGGAGAGCAATGTTGACATCCATCCTTCAGTGACAGCCCTCCTTCCAGTAAGTGAGCTTGCTAGTCACCCACTTGTGTGCATTCACAGAGGCTATGATGAATAAAGACAGATTACTTACCTGTAACTATGGTTCTTCAAGTGGACCTCTGTGAATTCACACATCCCGCCCAACCTCCCCACTATCCATCACTGATTAGTTTATATAAGCTCAGGCTATGGTGGCAGAAAATGGAACTGGGAGATGAGGCAGGTGTAGCATGCGCTATAGGGGCAATTTGAACTTTGTTACTTTTCTCTTAAGCTCTGGAAGATTCCGAGAGGACCAGCGCAGGCACTGTTTTAACCCACTTGTGTGAATTCACAGAGGTCCACTTAAAGAACCATGGTTTACAGGTAAGTAACCTGTCTTTCTTATGAGCTGTTGCACTGCAAAAACAGGTATTTTTATTGGTTGGTTGTGTGATTCATTTTCTCCCCATGTATTGTTTGCAGATACTTAAACCATTTAAGAAACTTAAAAAATAAAACAAGACTTTAAAATATTATAAAACACTTAAACATACTAGTTATTCTGGTGATAATAAAATTTGAATAATACAAGCAGAATCCAAATTTTAAAAAGCAATAAAAAAGCAATGATAACAGTGCGTTCAGATTTCTTCCAGTTTAATGCCATAAATCCATCTGAATAAAAAAAGTGTTTGCCTGCCTGGGCAGCTAGCTTAGCCACCATTTAATACATTATTATTAGGTGTGGTTAGCAGCCAGCTAAAAAAGCTTTCTGCCTTTTCTCCACCAAACAAACTCCTGATGGTAGTGGAATTGTTGATCTGAAGACATGGGCAAGCTCATATGGAGAATGTGATTTCTAAAATACTGTGTTCCCCTGGTTGGGACTTTGAATTGTGACCAGAAGCCATTTGGTAGCCAGGTAGCCAATAAAGCTCTTGTAATAAGGAAGCAGCATGCTTGCTCTATTCTACTTTACTAAAGAGTCTGGTTGTAGCATTTTGGACCAGCTGGCATTTCCAGGCACTTCCAAAAGGCAAACACATTGGTAGTACATTTTACAAATACCATGTGCTAGGTAGTCCAAATAGGATGTAACAAAATGGTGTGTCTCCATGGCCAATCAAATATTTTCAGAGAAGCCAGAGCTGGCACAACTGTTTTAAGTGTTGAAGTGTTATCCTGGCTACTGCCACATCTTGGTATCCGGGTTCAAGGCTGAACATAGGAGTATGTCTAAATTGCAAAACTTACTGTGAAATGTGACTCTCACCATACAGATCTATTTTCTCTATTTTCTGATCTGCCTTTCAAATTACAAGAAGAACCTTTTTTGTACTTTTTAATTTATTTCCTATCATCCATTCCATGTTAGACACTGATTTAGAACCAGAAGAGTTCCTTGCAAGTTTAATGGAAACTAGAGATTATGTTAGGTGTCATCAGCATACTATAGGCTCCAACACCTGAGCTACAAACAACTTCACATACCCATATATTTGAAATAGTGTAGGAAACAATATTGAACCTCTGATATACATAGCCCAGTGATTACAGTGCTGAATAGCAATTTCCCACTTGCCATTCTAGAAACGATGAGAGCTATCAGAAAATAGAGTATCCAAGTCCTATCCCAGACAAGCGATTCAGGAATGCATTATGGTCAATGGTATCAAAACTGATAAGTGCAGCAAAAACAACAAATGAAACTAGACATTTGTGCTGATCAATAGGTGGCATTCAGCCATTTTCAATGGGGCCCTGACACATTTGAAGGATGCCACAGACTGGAAACAATTCTTCACACAACACCTCCTAAAGTTCGTTGTGTGACTTATACAATCCTGATTTGACCTACGTTTCTTTTATACTGAATTTATGGCTGTGACCAAAAAAAAAGGTTGAGAATAGCTGGATGGTCTATGAAGATGACCAAAGCGCTCTGTTCCACAACTATGCCAAAAGTGAGATTGAAATATTTAGATAATACATTTCCAGATAGAAAGGGATCTAGATAAGCTCTTCTAGCTGAGATGGTGCCACAAATTCTAGCAGTTTGCCCAATAATGTGCAATGTATAATATATTAAATGTAAAATAGGAATATTGAAAGAATGAGTTGAAATGTTATATAATACTGGTGTGTGCTTGGAAATTATCCTTTATGATTGCATTGAGGAAGAGTTTTAAAACAGTGGTCTTACCACTGTCTTTTTTAGACACCTGGCAAAAAACTCTAAGGATGTCTCCTGCTGGCAATAGACTCTTCCTGAATGCAACTCATTATTTTTATGAAGAATGGATTTATATTTTGATCTCTGATCAAATAAGAGTAAAGAACAGGAGTGTTCTGTAAGGTTACCTTGTAAATCCTTGGAATTTTCAAACAAAATCAGTGCAGTTGTCTAAATTACATTCTCAGAAGCATATCAAAACATATGCAAACAATGTGCTTTATGTATGCATATATCTAGGTTAAGTTGATATTCCTGGTTATTACTAGTAAAAAATGCTCATGGGAAACAGGCAATCTACTGTAAAAGTGTCTGTGTCCACCATTTTGGATATGATTCTTCTGTTAGGCACCTGCAGCACCGTTTGAAGCTTTTTGAAACCTTGACTTTCAAATACAAAAGCCTGCCTTAACATAGGAAGTGTTCAAAACGTCTTTGAAATGTGAAACTAAGCTAGCAAAGCTTCAAAGCCAACTGCAGGAACTCTTCTTTTAGGAGTACCAACTCCAAGACGGCTTATGCAAGCCTCCCGGTGAACATTTTAGTGGTATATTTTCAATCTGAAAATACTTTGAACACTGCCTAGGTTTGGGTAGTCTTTTGTAATTGAAAATGTTTCTGTTTAAGCTTCAAAAGCAGCACTAGGAACTTCCTTGTGGAATACATTTTTGGATTAGTATTCTGTAAGAGTGAAGCTTATTGGCTGTCTGCAAGTTTTTAAGGTTTTAAGCTCAGTTGACAATATAAGAAATTATAATTGTTTAAGTACTGGATTTCTTATAGTTGTTCCAATGGTCTGAAGATTAAAGAAGGCTAATTCTGTGCATTGCAAAGCAAATTGAAAAATACTTCGAATAAATAGATTTTAAATATTTTTATACATAATGGACTCAACACAACCCGTTACATGAAATATATTCCTCTGGTTTGGATTGAGATTTAGTAATACTCCAGACACATTAAATTAAAAAGGCCAGATCCATCATGGCTAATTTAAGTCTCATTTATTTCAGTGGGTTTACTTTAAACATTAGTGAATGTAGCTTGTGCCAAATACAGTACTGCATGAAATAAGAATTGTATGGTCCAGGTCAGCACTGAAACACTGGAAGTCATCTAGTTTTGTTGCTCAGTGGCCAGAACCATGGACATTACTGTCAGCTATGTCTTTGACATGCGGAATTCTCTATTATATTTTCCTGTACTGTACTGCCAAAAAGCCAAGACTGACTGTGGAGGGGAAATGTGTTCTCTAAAATTAGCTCATACTTATATTTGTTTTTCCCCCCTCAAAACCAAAAGTGAGAGATTCTTACAACTATAGGTACAAGTTTGAATTTTATATTCATAAATGCATATACAACTGATTTTTAAATGAAGATTGAATTTATAATGGCTAGCCTCTGAGCAGTGCAAATAGGAAAATAATTTTAAAAGGCAAAGCCCCGTTTTCCTTCTAAATTTCAAGACAGTTATCTTTCTACCATAAAAGGAAATATTCAATCCCTTATTAACTTTTTGTTACTGGGAAGACAAAGGTCTGTGGGAGAGATTGGTCGTGATGCCGTTATGTTTCAGCTTTACATCTATATAACTATTTAATTGACATTATATCACACAGAAAAAAAAGAAAAAGAAAATAAAAACATTGTGGCACCTTATTTCAGTGGGACTGCAGCCTCAGTATATGTTTTATGCTTCATATAATGAGAGTTATATTTGTCTCAAGATTAGAAGAATGTTAGAAAAAAATGAAATGAATCTATAGGATGATATCATTTTGTAGGTACTGATTACTAATTAGCATCATTTAAAGAAAGACACTCTTTACTTCAAGGAGAATATTTAACATTTTGACATGCTGTTTTTCATCTTTTTTTATAGCAAAATTTGCTGAAGAATGAACAAAATCAAGAAGAAACTATCCTTCATTTTCTCCTTGATCTGTCCAGTCAGTGTGGTGTCTTGTTTCCCTGTACTCCAAGTGGGTCATCTTTTGAGTTTACATCCAGTACTTCCCTTCATGGAATTGAAGATGATTCAGCAATGGATGTTCAGTGTATTTGGAATGATGTGAGATTACATCTCCGGCGCTTTTTAGTAAACCAACTGCAGAATCATCAGGAAACAACCACTTGTAGTTTACAACAACAACTGCAATTTAAAACTCGGTGTCTACAACAGCTTTTATTTCTTTATCCTGAGTCAGAGATTCTTGCTAAGTATCAAAAAATGCAGAATAAATTGGTTAGTGAACTTTTGCAGAAATGTGTTCTTGAAAGCAGTGGTGAAACAAATTTTGAAAAGATGGTTCGTGGCTATGAAAGTTCAATTCCTGCCTTGTGTGTAATGATAAAGGAAGACTTGTATATATTAAATGGAATTACTGATCCTTCTTCAGCACTGAAGTTCATTAATGAAACTTATTTTGGTACCATCACTGAAGAATTAACTGTTCTTCTTGAAACTCTCTGTGAGCTTCAGTTTAAAGAAAATGCTTTACATGGTGTTAAGGCAAGCAAGAACACAAAGAAACACAGAGGAATAGCTCATGTTGGGGGTTAGTAAAATTTTATTTTAAGTCTATTTGTTGTCTTAATTATCTTTTATCTAGTCTGGAAACCAATGAAGGAGGTATATGCAGGAATATGAATGCTCTAACACTTAACTGTGTTGGTTCAATTTGGCAAGTATAAGTATATATATGGACAGTAGGTTATTCATAATGACTGAAATCATGTTGCTTAGCTAATGGGCCTACTCTGCTTGTGACTTACTTTAGCATAGTAAGTCTCAGCAAGAGTCGGCTATTTTGAATCAGTGGAATTTATGGAGTAGTTGACACACCAAATTCCTACAGATTCCATGGGTCAACTCTAGTGTGACTTACTTATGTTAAGCAACAGGATGTTCGCCATAGACTATATGCCTGCATTTCCCCAAAACAAGATATGTTTGCCTGCTTGAATATGTGTAGATCACAGGGATCGACACATACTGATTTAATTTTCCCTCCTATTGTGTCAAGAAAGAGATCAGTCCTGTTTTGTTCCCTTTTTATTAATGCAAATTTGCTCAGAGTTAGGGTAGGGGTCCCTTCATTAAAATTTTAGTCTAATATTACTGATATTCATGATGGTTTATTACAGTCGCTTTGTTCCTTTGAGCAACTTATAGATGTTTCACACCTTCCATAGCATTGCTGCATCTTGCACAGGGGTCTGCTGTGAAGACTGCTATTTTGACTCCCTATCCACTACCATTTCTGTCATATACTGGTGGCAGCATGACTTTGACAAGAAGTAGTATGATGGGGAGAGCAGGCAGAGTGATCAGAACAGAGTGCCTCTTGCATGGTTGTTTAGAAAGCTATTTTCATTGCAGCTTTTCACAGCAGGAATGAGTTTTGCGTTTAGCAATCCATAATTTGTTATACTTTTTCTATGAAATCTTATATTGTAAAGGTTAATCCCTTAACTCACATAACATTAGCCCTCCTATTTACATTCAGGTCAGGCTGTTTAAGCAAAAGGATTTATTTTGAATGCTTTTGCTTTATATTGCAAACATAATGTTCTGACTGAAATATGTCTGTTGAAAAAGCAGTAGAGATGGAATTATGGCTGAACCAAGGAGACATGGATAAACATGTGTAACATTTCAACTTTATTTTTTAAAAAATAATTTTAACCTGGTGATCTCTGACGACTGTCCTCTCTTACAACAAAATGAAATAATTTTGCCTCTGTCCTCCAGGCTTCTTCATCTATGTTCCACATGTTTCAGCTATATTCCACTTTGCATTTTAAGTCCATTTAATATCCAAATACTGTACTCTACAAAAACTAAAAGTTTTCAATGCATGCTTGCCACCATCAGTGCAGACTGCCTACTCCTTCACTCTCACTACTCATCACCATTTGAGTAAATGGGTATTTGTCGTGCTGATGGAAATTGCATAGTATATGTGAAAGTCAAAGCAAAAAAATGTACTAAGAGGAAAATTGTAAAGCATAGGAGGGGTCAAGGCAGATGAATTATGAGCAAAGCTGCTGTGAATCAGAGGAAGTAGAAGTGAACAGAGTCACCAAACTAGTGCCAAGACAAGGAAAACTGACAAAACCATGGCAGGAAGAGAGAAGGGGATGGGTTTCCTGTAATGGTACCATCAGTTGTATGGAGAAGGCAATTACCTGTAGTTCCCCACCCCTGCCTAAGAGGAGTCTTGTGTGGCAAAGTTTAGGGCTCACAGAGTAGAGAAGAAGTTTCAGGAGAAGGAAAAGAGGAAACCACTAATCCTTTATATAATGATAAAAAGATCAGGTTTGGGGCTGGCTGCCATTCAGACATGTCTGTTTTATTACTATGTAACAGGTGGGAAAAGCAGGCTTCTGGTCATTTATTGTTGAGGGTTTTTTTTACCCTAAGTATCCACCAATTCTTCCTTCCAGTTGACTAAACTATTAAGGGGTGAATCAAACCAATTTTCCCCTTCCTGCCCTCCTGTCTTCACCTATGCTGACACTCTTAATGTTCTGAACATCCTCACAAGTTCTTGAAATGCTGTTTGGGGATTTAAATTATTTTTGTTTGATGCACATTCCAGGTATTTTGAGATAGTAATTCTAATGTATTTGATTTAGTTCAGGACATTCTATTTGGACTCCGGATTAAAGGTGCAAAAGCTTTTTGTTTACTAGGGAAATGGTGTTAGCACTATTTTAATAGATCCTATTGTAGGAAAAATAAAACAGTAAGCAACACAGTGCTAGAACTTTGTGCATGGATGCCCACTTACTGAACAATTAAGAAAGCTACTATATACTGTAAGAGCATAATATTCAGAGCAATATTATGTCATAATATGTTTTATTTTCTATAGTTATTTTAGTTGCAATAATCAACTGATATGATTGTGATTTTGCAGTATCTTTGTTTTACTAGTCTCTCCCTTCCCTGATTAATATTAGCAAAAATGCCTTGATAGATTACAGGCAACAAGGCTGTAGCTTCCTAGCTCTGCATGTACATATACACTCACAGTTTCCCATTGCAATTTGAAAACTGTAGTGTGATACACAATTTTATTCTGCATGAATAATATTAGCAGCATTAGATCAGTAGAAACCATCTCCCCTATTCTTTCCTGCTTGTAAGAAAAGAATTCACTAAAGTTATAAATTTATATATGCTAAAGAATCCATAAAGACATATCTCATTATAATCTGAAAACACAGCTGACAGAAGGACCTAGGGAAAAGTACAGAAAGGAAATTAAAACGAGGAGTAATTCATTTCCATATTTAAAAATAATGTGTCACTTGACCCAACAGTTTCAGTGTTACAGTCTTAAGCTTAATTAGCTGCACCATGATCACTTATGAACAAAATACAGGTTTGAATTGGTTTACTTTGAACTGATGGGGGAAGAGAACACTTAGCACCAAATATATGAGTGAAAAATAGAGAAACCTCAGAAGTTTTTAGGGGGAAAATTATTGCTTTATTTGCTGCAAGTGTAACTCATTCTCAACTCTGATTAGGTTATCTTGAAAAAAAACAAACCCCAAACTATCTACCGCACCACCTCAAAATAACCCTACTCTTCATTAGTTTTCCTTTAAATGAATCAAATACCCCTGTAGAACACTGATATAATTACCTTTTAGGCAGTTAATTTTTTTCTACGAAACACAGGTTTCTTCCCTACTTTCAGCTCAGTGATATTAGCTGGTTGAGTGAAGATAATGGGACAGAAAAGTATTATAATTGGGAAATATAGAAATTATAATTGAGAAATACAGATTATGCTACAGTTTTCTGTAGCTATTTTTGTTTAATTTGCAGTTCCTAGAATTTCAACTGGGGGAAAAATTAAGATTAGTTTTCCTAGAAAGAATATGAAGTGACAGATCATACCTGATGGTGCTGAATTTGTTGCTCTCCTTTTATTTTGAAAGCAGTGGAACTAAAAAGTACATTTGCAGGGTGGCTCAGCAAAACCTCATTGGTACCTTAGTGTGGACATACTGTTTAACAGACTTTCTGTTGATGTTATTAGTGATATGTACTATACATTCTTTCACATTCCTGATGGTGGCTGTTTCCCTGAGAAAAGTATAGTAAGGCATTTGGGTTTGCATGTACTGTATGTGAGGCAGGAAAATGCCTAAAATGGCAGTTTGCAGTGGGATGGCCATTGGTTTTGGGATTGTCACTTGGAAGCTGGTAATGCCACAACATTCCTTTCATGTTATGTTTTTGTACGCTGTTAGTGGCACCATTCACACAAGAGGGCAGTAAGCCACCCCGAGTAGACACTCTAGGGGGGCAGGGTAGAAATCAAATAAATAAATAGATAGATAGATAGATAGTAGATAGATAGATAGATAGATAGATAGATAGATAGATAGATAGATAGATAGATAGATAAAAATAAAATTAAATATCTCGAGTCAAATGTATGGTATGGTGTCAAAAATAAAGCAACTGCTTGCAAATACATGGATAAAATTTAACATTAGATGGACACTTAAAGGCTACATAGATCTATTGATAAATCTTTAGAAGTGTTAATTTTAAAGAATTGCAACGTAATTTAAGATTGGTTTCCAGGTAACCATTCATGCTAACAGAAAGTCTTCCAACAATAAGCAGGGGGGTAAAGAATTTGCTGTATGCCCTCAAAATCTGCTCCGGGGATTGGAGGACCCTCTGGCATACATTGGGGCTGCAGATGTAGTGGAATGTTGCATGGCATGATGTGCAGCCTTGTGACCTTTGATTGTAACCTATGCTTCTAAGGTTATGTTTGTTAACTTTGTGAAATAAACAGTATATTCAAAGATGGTAAAGATATATTATGCACTTTAAATATCCACATTTCACATTTGAATCTTGCTAAAGCACATTTGAATCTTGCTAAAGCAGGAATTCCATATCTGTGATTTGATTTCTTATGCATATTTCACAAACAAAAGGGCAATTTAAATTTTAGTCTTTTTTTCCCCCAGAATATTTCCAATTAGAAAACACTAATTATTTTCCTCTCAAAGCTTCCTTTGCAAACCTGGGTGTTCTTCCTAAGGGTGAAAAGAACATTTAACTCACTATGCCCCCTAATTATTGCCTTCTCCACCCAAGTCTAAAAGATGAAAGTGATTTACCCTTCAATCCGATTTCTCCTGAGCGGTCAGAGGTCAGTCTGAGATTTATATATTAGAGTACTCTCTTTAATAAAAAAAGAGAGTGACAAAGAAGTTGAGAGGGAATTATTAAGTTGGTTTTTCTTAGGAACATACAGTAGTGTGTAAAGGAAACCACAGAGGGCTATGAAAGGCAAAAGAAGAAGGACTTCTAAAAGGTTTCCTGAAGAGGTTCCTACAGTATTGTTTGACAAGAAAATTGTTACATGACTCTTTACATGATTCTTTTCAACACACATCAGCTGTCTCCTGAGTAGAACTTAATTAGGTGCTCCTTGCTGAGATACTATTAAGCTGTGGAGCATTTTGTGTACCTTCATTAATAAAAGGATTGGTTAGCTTTAGGATTTTGCTA